TAACCATTTAAGAACTATTAAGCTGTTTCGGCAGTTATTGTCTTTCAGACTGAAACAATCAGGACAGAAAAATTCAGCATGAGGGATAAAGTTTGTCCAATCTGCAAGATGCTGCAAAAGGGGCTTATATTAAGAAGCGTTGGGATACCTGAGAAAGCTTCAGGCATCTCCTCTAATAAAGAAGAGGAGCTTTAAGTGTCTATCAATACATAGCAAATGCAGAGGACCCAGAAAAAAATCCCAAGAGAGCAAAATGCCATGTATTCCCCCTCAGACGTGATCACATGTAATATGCTCACAATATTCACTGAAGGTTGTGAGACCCCACCTGGAGTGCTGCGTCCAGCTGTGGAACCTTCAACATCAGAAGGATATTGACCACTTGGAGCGAGTCCAGAGGAGGCCATGGAGATGCTCAGAGAGCTGGAGCCCCTCTGCCATGGGGACAGGCTGGGAGAGTTGGGCTTGTTCAGCCTGGAGAAGAGAAGGCTCTGGGGAGACCTTATAGCACCTTCCAGTCCCTGAAGGGGCTACAAGGAAGCTGGGGGGGACTTTTTACAAGGGTCTGTAGTGACAGGACAAGGGGTAATGGGTTTAAATTGAAAGTGGGGAGGTTTAGATTGGATATCAGGCGGAAGTTCTTCCCAGAGAGGGTGGTGAGGCACTGGAATAGGTTGCCCAGAGAAGCTGTGGATGGCCCATCCCTGGATGTCTTCAAGGCCAGGCTGGATGAGGCTTGCAGCAACCTGGTCTAGTGGAAGGTGTCCCTGCCCATGGCAGGGGGGTTGGAACTGGATGATCTTTAAGGTCCCTTCCAACCCAAACCATTCTGTGATTCTATAAGGTCAATTAACACAGCTCCACCAGACCATGGAGAAAGCAAATTCCACAGTGACAACACCTTACTTCAACTTTTCCTCTGTCCCTACAAGCCTTCACAAGCATCCCCAGGATACAGAGCATGGGAAAGGTCAGCTGGGTCCCCAATTCAAGCAGGGCTTCACAGGTGAAGCAGCAAGGCACCTGCCAGCAACCAGACAGAAACACATGGAGAGGTGCAGGAGGAAAACGCGTGGGCATAATCCCCCCTGGGAGGAGCAGCTATGCAAGCAAGCAGCTGCATCTAGCCTTGAGGGGAGCTTCTGATCATCACTCTGTGAATGACAAGGGCTGGACCACAAAGGGATGCTCAAAATCTCTTTGCTGGCAGAAATGATGGGTATGAGCAGGGAGCTGAGGCACAGTGAAGTATCCTGCAAGGCCCCAGTAAGGCAATCCTTGTGGCTCATGTGTTGGGCTTGCCTGCCCTCACCTAAGAGCTGGCTATTGTCAGCACCACGCTGTCACTGCAACACAAACCTGTCCATGCTGAAAAAGAGCCAGGAGGGAAAAGATCCTTGTGACTGCCTAGGAAAACTCTTCGTGAAGATGAAGAACTACCCTGACCAACTCCCTGGCATCTCCCAAAAGACTGAACCCACCTAGTCAGTGGTCAATCAACATCAACCAAACAGATCAAATACAAATCCATCAGTAAGGGCTACCTTAGCATCTCCCTTCCAGCAAGTGCTAAAATACCGTGGAAACAGTATCAGTTTATCTGGAGCTCAGCAGTATGGGGACCATGGTCTAGTGATGGGAAGACTGCATCGTTCATCACATGGCACAAAAACAAAGCAATGAGCTCTGCTGAGGGTACGTGCTCTATGTCTGAATTCTGGTGGTATCTGAGCATCACTTGCTTCTGTCCTCAAAAAGGACTTCCAAAGGACTACCCAGGGATTTCTGCAGGCAGTGATGTGCTCCGTTCTGCCTCACAGCAGCAGAAGCAGGCGCTGACCTTGTGAAGACTCACCTTAAACGTTCCAATTGCTCTCTTCTCTTGCACTCTGCAAACCTCTCTGTCCCCCCTCTGCCACTCTTAAGGGCTATTTCTGTTCCCGTTCCTCACTTTACGCTGTCATTCCCTCGTTCTCATCATTATACTTGTCCTGTGGACTACCAGGCTGCAATATCTATAGCTGGAGTACACGCAGCTCACAGAGGATGGTTACAGATGCTCCTCTCATCCCCATCTTCCCCCATGGCCCTGCCCTGTGCCACCGCACAGTGCTCTCAGCTGTTGGCGAGGCTGTTCTTGGAAACGTATCAGTGAAATGATCAGGCTTAGAAACCAAGCAAGCCCCTCTGGCTCCTCAGCTTCAAAACAACATTAAATGGTCCTTCCCCACTCCTTTAACCTGGATCTGTTACAGGATGGGGTTTTGGAAGACAAGGATATAACCAGTTCTGTGACGTACATCAGCAACAACCACCATGAAAGTAAACAGCAGCTGACCATCAACAACTTCACACGGCGCTGTCAGAGAAATCACAGCAGAGGGGCATCAGCCTTTCAGACCCTCCATGGAATTAAGACTTGGAGTTATACAAGCTCTTCGTGTCTAGCACCAACTGTTTTCCTTATTTTGTGGATATTTGCAGCCTTACCTGAAGACAGCATCTTTGCTAACAAGATGTTACTCTCTCCACAAACACTCATCTTCCTCTGCCTGGTTTTCTAATGTCCCTCTCACATCTGCCCACTCATCTTAAGAGTCCTCTGGATATCTGCTGGATGCAGCATCCAAACTTAACATCTTATATCCAACCAGACAGACATCCAAGAAGAAAATTCAATTCAGACAATAACTGCCAATATCAGTACCAATCATGGATAATCCTTGTTATCCACATAAATTAAGTAAACTTAATAGATAGGCCAAGTCTAAACGTACAAAAGAGCTTTGTGCATGACTTGCACCAGGCCACACAGTCTAAATTGTTACACAGGATTCTTATTGCATGTTCCTGCTGCTGTGATGTATCAACACTCTGTTTCTCCATATTTACAAGACAGAAACAAAGGAGCAATTACCTGCATAGAATTTCCATTTACACTGAAATGATTTCTGCAGGTACTTGACCAGGCCATCCAGAGGAACCTGGACAGGCTGGAGAGGTGGGACCATGCCAACCTCATGGAGTTCAACAAGGCCAAGTGCAAGGTCCTGCACCTGGGT